TGGTTGCTTGGACTGTGTCCTATTGAGATGGTTTTTCATAGCACAACTTAAGAGCAATCCAATTGCTGTCTCAGTTTTCTGACTAGCTCAAAATACCAGTACTATATTTTTTAACGGGAACAGTTAATTTAACAACAGCCTCTTCTCCCATCCTTCTGCTTTTGGTCCATACATTTTTTGGATGTATATGCCTGTCTTCACAACTACTTGTTCTGTTATTTCCTGTCCAATCAGCACAGTCAGCCAGGTTGGAAAGCAACACTCCTGCTACTACTTGATATGACTGGAACACTGGAATTTGCCTGGAAAAAATCTGCAAATGTAAGGCTGCCTATTTATTTGGGGGGGATATGGGGATTGTTGGGGTCAATGAAGGCTGTGGGAAAAATCCCCTTAGCCATGGTGAGTAAAGTCTTAAGCACATTTCCTCCTGTTTAGTTTGATGTAACTGTTGCCAGAAAGTTCTATGGTTTCTTTGTTATCATTGGTTAAGATTTGGTGCATTATTTTACATATTTGTAATCCCTAGTTGTTATTTGCTCCTTCCCCTCAGACTCCACCCCTACCTTGGTTTATGTAAATTATTGTATTCCTGGCCCTCACCTTTTGTGTGCATCCCCATATGTTGTCCAGTTTATGTGTTTGTTATTTTACTTATTAAAGATCTTTACTTTTTGGGTCACATAATGGTGCCTGTCCCCTTTATTTTTGCCACCCTATGCCCTGAAGTAAGGGGAGCAAAAGGTTTGTTGCAGCCACCTGTGCTGCAACAGGGGGTTCTGGTTTTTGGTTTTTTTTTTTTAAATTATTCCAATTCAGATCTTAAATCAGCATTTTAAAGAACACTAAGGCTGCCAAGTACTGAAGGTAGCAAACAACTCAGATTTTTCTGAAAGCATCTTGTGGCAGCTGCAAGTTTGTGTTACATTACTTAGAGCAGTAATTGCCTTTGGAAATTAGATTTTCTTGCTTATTCAAAAGATTTACCATGAGTAACCATAAAAATTCAAAATTTAACTCACTAAGTGCCGATATTAGCAAGCAGATATAGAGGATGTGTGTGGTAAAAATTAAGCAGAAATTGAAATCTACCATCAGATAATGCAGATCATTTCTTTGACAGTACACTTTGATATCCCTCAGAACATACATGGTCCAGTGGTTCTAAAACTCTCTAAACAGCACAGTTTGCAAACTCTTCCCCGTTGTAGATTTCTCTCAGGAACAAGTACACCTTGCTATCCAATTTAGATTTTAATTTATGTGTTTTCATCCTTCTTGTTACATTCCTTAGGCAGTCCTCCTTACTGGTATTTTCAGTTCTTATTTAGTCGAGCTCTAAATATTTTGATTTTTCTTACAGTGACATGACAATTTTATGTAAGAAAATTTGCCAAACTATTTTGATAATAGGTCACTTAATATGTCTGGTGTCAGAAGGTGTGTGCAAACCATTTATCTTTCAATACTGTCTGCAGAAGAGGAATTTTCAGACATGGAATTATTATTCAATGGATTATTGTAACAATGAGGGCCCCTGAGACACAGTCACCAGCACCTGCAAGAAAGACTAATCAAGGTGTCTGGATTTCAAGGGAATGTGACCAGCATTTAAAATAAATTTATATTTTCTGTTACTCTTTGCTGATAGAGGTTCTTCTCCTCTCACTGGCTTTTATTGCATTTTTTTTCCTTCCATGCTGCAGCTCCCACACGATGCTTGCAGACTGAAGTGAGGATGGGGATGTCACTCCCTGCTCCCATGAAAAGTAGGGTAGTGCATTTCAGTCAGTCTTTTTAAGCACTGTGCACCACTCTTCCAGTAGCAATCCCATCAAAAAATACATCAGCATCTGCTTCAGATGTGGCCAGACTCAGAGTACTCGCAAAGTACTCAAATGGCAATGCAGGATCTGCAGCACCCTTACACCTCCATTGGGTACCACTGTGCCACACAGATAAATGACAGCCCAGCCTTCCTGCAGCACCACCTGTAGCCCTGTGAGAGCCCAGAGCTCAGCACTGAGATGCACAGAGAGATGAGAGGACACACAGGCCCATGGAATGGAATGCAGCTTGCTTAATTATAAATGTCTATCCTATGACATAAGTACTGACAGCTATGTACCTGTGACTGTCACTGGAGAACTCGTCAATACAGCTCACGTAGTTTGGGGTACAATTCATCTCAACAAGGGTAGGGTGAGGCAAATCATACCCTAAACACTGCTTACTGTAACAAATGCATCTGCACTACTTAATTCACACACAGGTGTCATCCAAAATAGTGGAGCAACATTGAGCATCTTGGATTAAAAAAATAGCATGCCTCACAAATTGATAAATATCAACCCCTGAAAGGTTAACACTAAAAGTAGAAGAAAATAAGACTTATCTCATTGAGACTGTCTGCTGTAGCAATCAAAGCAGTTAGAATCCATTTGTTTGCAGGAGTCCATAGAGAATATCAAAATAAATTAGTTTATTTTGTTCTGCATGACCAAAACCCATCCCGCTTAGCTCTGCCTACCTAAATAAAGAGCACAGCCTGTTCCAGGCTTTTCTCCATAAACAAAACAGAGAGAGGTTGCTCCAAAGGGACACTCAATACCACCTAAGATCTGGTTTGTCCTCTAAATGTGCCTACCTTTCATTAGTGACTAATAGAAAACCAGGCTATAACAAAGCTGTTGGCACACGTACTTCAAACAGATCCCAGAGTCTCTCAGTAAAGAAAGTATTAACAATCTGAGGTTCTACTTGCAGGGCTTTCCTCCCCCAAAATCCACAAACATGACAGTTATGATAAGCGACAAAACAGTTCATACAGCATGATTTACTGTGGTTCCACTATCAAAGTCCTTATTTATTCTTCCTAAGGGGGATCAGCAATCACACCTTGAGATCTCTGCTGTGAGAAGCAAACCTTTCCTTCTACTGTGACACAACACCAACCCTGAACTGTAAGGTATTCTGGTAGATTGTGTTTAATATTTCAGGGAGTCCAGTACAGTGTTTTTCTCATTCATTACTGGCAATCAAGCCATTTGAAAGGAAATGAGAGATGGAGAGCTAAACATTCATTTGGAGAGCAAAGAGATAATCAAAATAATAATAGCCTTGTCTCAGATTTTGCATACAATTTTTCAACACTAAGGAACATAAAATTGACATGACTAATATCAAACTAATATCAAAATATCAAATAACAACAAATGCTAATATTAAAGCTAATATCTAAAACAATGTAAATTACATTTAGAAAGTCAATCACCAAAGTTTAAGTTTACTCTGAAAAATAGGTAATATCAACGTTTTTTATTCATAAAGCAACAGAAACACTCAGCACAAAAAAACTGACAGACTTGTTAGCTTAAAATTGACAATACAGAGTACATTGTTACTGCACAATGCATGGGGTATGCTATTCTAAATGACAACTACCTATTTCGAGAGGTGACTGTATTATGAAGGGCTGATAATACTGACATCAGAGGAAAACCAGTAAGGAGAGATGAATCAAATAGTATGACTATATTCCTCATTGATACCACAGAACTCACAAGTTCTCTTCTACACAACAATAATGAAACACTGAAAGGCAAAGAAATGGAGAAATCCTGAAGTAGAAAAGTCGAAGGATGAATGGAAAGTGAGGCCCACAAATAAAACAATGTATCCAAGACCAGGTAAGTGGATACCCTGCAGAGTCACAGATTTAATGCCCCAATTCTAGATCTTACAACCAGACATTTCCTTTGTAACCTGCTTCTACTTCAGCCTGCTGGGGTGTTGGACCTCTCAGCAAACAGGTTGGAAAAAAATAATCTGACTAACCGACTAGTGCTACTTCCAAATTAGCAGCCAAAGTGTGTTCATAACACATTCAAAACAAACAAGCCTACACAGTACCCAGAAATTTTTCCCATGTTAACAATTCTAGATTCCAAACCAAATACACAACAACTAAACCAAAATTATGGATATCAGAAAGTAACACTTTAAACAACTCATGCTCCATACGAAACCTAAATTATTTTCTCAGCATATGAAAGTCATCAAGATTGCAGTCATGCAAGCAGAAGACATAACCATGTACCTCCAACACATTTCAATAATTTTACCCAGGATGGTACTACACAAGGAAACTTGATCTGAGCTAGCACTGGAGCTCTTAAGTTAACAGAATGGTAGCTTATTTAAGCCATGCAAGAAATTTTTGTCAGAACCATACAGCACTTCTGTATACCACACCAGAAATATTTTGCAGGCTAAATAAAGTACATTTACATTATTTCATTAAACTACAAAAATACTAAATTTCAAAGATTAAAGGATTCACATACACCAGAATAAAACAATGCCTTTGCAAATGGGTCAATAGATAGCTTTCCTTCACCTTTTATGCTGCCTCCAAAATACTTCAGAAGAAGACATCGTATCATGGTGAAACAATGCTCTTTAACATCATAGACTGCTATTGTTTCACCTTTGTCTAATTCATTTTTTCCCTAGCACCTGAGGAAATACTCTTTAATTGAAGAAAGGCATGGGAAGTATGACCTACAAAGAATCAAATACTGCTAATTACACAACAAGAAACACAATATAAATATAGGAAAAAAAGTACCAAAAGATTGATGTATAGAGGCTGCTTTGGGCTTAGTGTGATAAAACTTGGAAAATATGTACACTTATTTTAGCTAGCTATGGTCAACTTGAATGATGACCTAAAGTCATATGACAAAAAGTTGCAAATTTCAAGTTATTAGCTTGTCATCAAATATTTCATACTAACAAGCTCAAGTGCTTCCACTGAAAAGAATTCAACTTCCAAGCTCTCAAATGCTATAGTTTGAAACACCTGCTCTCCTGAAAACTCTTCCAGCTATGCATCCAAGCAGTCTGAAATATACCTCTGACTTCAAAAGGGGCATGGGATTCCTTCATGAGCTAATCACATAGAAAAGGGATTTTTGCACACAGCTCCAAATCCTTACCTTTCTGTAGACTATCATATTTGGAGAACTCTCCTCTGGGTCAGCAGTTTCTGCACTACTCGGATCAGTAGGTGCTTGGGCCATGTTTGCCTCTCGTCGCTCAGACTGCAAGGACAGGAACAAAAGTCAGCATCACTCCAGGCTGCAATGGAGCATGGTAAGGACATGAAACTGCCTCCCAGGCAGACAGAAGGATGGTACAGAGGGGATTACACTCCAGACTTCACCCCATGCAGGATTTTATCACACTGAGTCAGAAATGATTGGTTGATGGGATAACGCCCCAAGAGCAAGGACCACCAAGTCACACAACAGCTGTGGTTTGGGTCATCACACACACACATTTCTCCCACAACTCTCAAGTTTTATCATGAGATCTCATTCAATAGAAGAATATCCAATCAACACTTGGCACACTTCCTTTCCTTGCTATATAGCACAAGCAGCTTTGACTTTTCTAGAAGCTTTGAGGTACCTGCAAAGAAAAAGCCAAGGCAGCTTGCTGTGAGGCAGAGTGAATGCCCACTGTAACCGGCGGGTGCAGCTGACTCAGACACACTGACAGCTCTCGCCTGCGGACACTCCAAGCCCCTTCCAGCTCTCCACAACCCCAGAGCAGCAGCCAAGAACCAGTGATGCATAGCTTCTTCCTCAGAGCAAACAGCTTCCCTCACCTCTTCTCATGACACAGCCAGGAAGAGGCAACAGGACACAGGCAGACGACCACACTTAATACTCTTTATCTTCTAGAAGCACAGAACTGGAACTGCTGCCTCATCTACTCCAGGTCATGCCAGCCTTGAGGTGACAGAATTGTTTAAAAAAAGGGGCCTGGTGAGGAAAGGCACTTTAAGCCCTAAATCAAATGCTGTATTTTAAGGTTTTCTTCCACCAGCATATTTGACAAATTATATTTAAATTAGAGGCTGCTGTGGAGCAGTGTGGTGACCTTTCCTAACCTAAGAAGTAACATTGCCTCGTACAGACATTGGCATTAAAACTGTCTGACAAGTTCAATTTCTTTAACACTGAAAGCACTGAAACATCCCATCTAAATGTACTTCATTAAAAACTGAGGGGAAAAAAAATCTATGTTCACACAAGCATAACCTATGAATTAATTTCTAAAACACAGTTCACCACTAAATTGTCTCCTTTATTAAAGGGAAAAGATACTTTCCTATTCCTTCTTTTACCCACTTTCACATTGCCACTGGCAACAAAGTGCCCCAGCATATAATATACATACATAGCATATAATTATCTGTATAACACAGCCCTGAGCCATTCTAGCTGTCAGTTATCAGATCCCAAGGACAAGTCAAGACCCTAGAATCAGACAAGCTCAGACCATATCCTAGCTCTGTCCTTTCTCAGCAGTGACAAGGCTACTGCAGTAACATGGCACCCATCACTAGAGCCAGAAGCAGTCGAGATCTCCTCTTTAAGAAAACTTAAAAAAAAAAAAACCAAGGTTGAATAATCCACATCAATCCAGAGTCATTAATGTTTTCCTTTTATAAGGTATGCATACACACACACACACAAGTGGGCACAAAGGCATATGTACATGCATATACCAATCTGGAAATTCAGTAATACAGTTCAAGATCGATTCAAACAATATATATATAAATCACCCTTTAGAGATTTAGATACTATTTTAAAGGACATAAATTTATTTTAACCCCTATTAAACCTCATGTCTTCCTAGAAGCCCAAACACTACACTGTTGTGCCAGATTGTGAACTAAAAGGTAAATGGAATAAATTCTCTAAGCAAAATTATTAGATGCAGAAACAATTAAACAGCACAAATGATGAAGGGTAAAGCATTCTTGAATTATAGCACTCCAAATTATTTACACGAATGTGCATTTTCACAATACTTCTTGGTCATGATTTCAGGGCACTGAAGAATTAGGCTCTAGGTTATCATCACTTAATTGAATGGAGCAAGAACTGGGCTGAGATTTTATGTAACTTTCTGAAGGCAATTACAAAGCAGAGTTGAAAGCATATGTCAAGTCATACAAGTTTCAGCTTCACCTGCAGTATATAAAGACCACATTTATCACTTATATCACGTGAGATTTTATATGCATGCTTTAAAAGAAAACAATTACAACTAACTTTCAATTCAGAAATGCTCTTAAAAGAGAAAAATTACAATTTCTAACCAAAAAGCCCTCTGCAGCATTACTTAGCTGTGTTTCACTCATTGCATTATTCACTTTGAACATCCATATTTACAAATTCTGTTTTCTTGTTATACTGTCAGCTCACTTGATTTTTTCTGGTGCTTCCATATTTTCCCCCATAGCACTTATTGAAGCTTTTCATCTACTCCAGTGCAACAAGACAATAACATCATGTGCAATATGCAGTAGTAGCTGGCATGCTGTGCACGGTGACATTGAGGGAGCCATTAACTTTGAAGATCTACATAATCCTAACATTGATCTACATAACATCTACATAAGGTAATCAATACAAGTGAACCAATCTGCTGTTGGAAGTCAGAAATTTGCAAACGTGATTCCCATGAGCACCCAGCATCTGCTGCTGGATTTCAGTAAGGAGCAGCAAGAGCAGAGCCACCTTTGTAGGAGTGAGAGCAGGATGGACATCTCAGAGAACAAGGCTGGAGACAAGGTAGGACTGAGGTGCAGTGTGAAGCAAGACAATCCCCTCCACACAAGCCAGGCACTGCTGCTGCTGGGATGAACCTTAGCAGGCCAAGCCAGGGCCCCTGAGGAATTGTGAGGACTCTGACTATTGTTTATTCTCTTTCCTTTATACCCTTTTTAAAAGCACAGAATTCTTTCACATTGGCATTCTACAAGAAACAAACAAGCAAAGAAAACCTACAGATAAAATAAGACAGTGATATGACACAGGCATGTTGGCTCTTCAAGGTGAAAGCACAGGAGTGCTGGGTCCCATGGATTCCACTACACCTGTGCTTTTTAACATATGGGGGTTGAATGGAGCTCAGCACACAGTGACGCAGGACTGCTTCACAGAAGCACATAATGGCTGGTGTTGGAAGAGACCACTGGAGTTCATCTGCTCCAACTTTCCTGCTCACATCAGATCCTCTACAGAATGTTACTCGGGGTTGAGTACAGATGGCTTTTGAGTACCTCCAGTGAGAGAGACTCCACAACCTCTAACGGCAACTGTTCCAGTGCATGGTCACCTGCACACTAAAGTTCTTCCTCATGTTCAGGTGGAGCTTCCAGTGCATCAGCTTCTGCCCCATTACCTCTTCTCCTATTGCTTTGGCACCCCAGAGAAGAGCCTGGCTCCATCTTCTTGGCACCCTCCCTTCAGATACTGACAGACATTGATGAGGTTCCCTCTCAGTTGCCCCTTCTTGAGGCTGATCTGGTCCAGCTTCCTCATAAGAGAGATGTTTCCATCCCCTCTTCATCTTCGTAGCCCTTCCCTGGATCCTCTCCAGAATCTCCCTGTCTCTCTGTACTGAGCAGCCCAGAACTGGACACAGCACTCCAGCTGTGCCTCACAGGGCTGAGCAGAGGGGCAGGATCACCTCCCTGCACCTGCTGGCAATGCTCTTCCTAATGCACCCCAGGACACCATTGTCATTCCTGGCCACCAGGGCACTGCTGGCTCAGGGACAGTTTGTCCATCAGGATCCCCAGATCCTTCTCCAGAGAGCTGCCTGCTGCAAACACAAATGAGACTGCCCATGGTCAAAGTACAGCTTTTTTTACCCTATTACTATGTTAACATGCTAACATTCGCAACCCTTTAATTAATACAATTGTATGTGAAAGTCCCCATCCAATTTGCAAAGTCCTCTCTTAAGAAACAAACCAAAAAAAAGCTACACAATTTTTTCCTCACTGTCAGCTCAGTCTACTCCAGATGCAAGCAGGAAGTCAATCCTACAACACTATACAGACTGAAAACAGAGTCTGCCCTCTGAACCTTTCTCTAAGCACATATTTGTGATGTATCAGCCAGAAGTGAATCCAGCTTAGTCTCACAAAGAAATAACAGCTACACTTAGCTGAGAAGAGTGAAAAAAAAGATTTTATGTAGGGTTTTTTTTAAAAAAAAAATTAAACCTTTAGCTTAATTAAGATAGCCTCCAACTAAGAACCTCACCAATTACTATCTGAAGAGTACTGTCAGCTCCTCCCTCCTCTGAGCAGTTTGCTGTATTATCAGGGCTAACTCAACCCAGCCTGCAGCCACACACACCAGCAATCTAAATCCAAATGCATGTCTTCAAAAAAATGGTCTCTAAATTTTAACTTTCATGTTCAAAGATGCTGTTTTCCCACAGCTGTTTTTCTGACAATAGCCATGCTTGCAGCAATCTGGACTCCTCAGCAGCAAAAGTGATAAAAATTGAAAACCATTTGTGCTAGCCATTCTCTCACTCTGCCACATACAAGGAGAAAATCAGCAGTCTTCAACTTCTTCTTGTTTATGGATAAGATGGCCTATTAAGCCTTTGAAAAATATACCAAAAATATGCTCAAAAGAGAGGGTACATTCTCCTCTCACTGATTTTTTCCTTTTTATGTTTTATTCTTTATTATAGAACACTTATGCTTTTCCCCTAAGAAACATAAGCACACTGGATTAGACAGACAGCTGCTGACAAAATGCACTGAATCACAGTAAGAGTTCTCTCTCTCTTGCTCTTATCTGATCAGGCTCCTCACTCTCCCAAAAACCAGAAGCTGCAGAGATAAGGCTCCCATATGTCATGAAAGGATGAGTGGACTTTAAGGCAGAATAATCAATTAAAAATATGCTGTGAAAACCAAGAAAATATTTTTTTCCAGTTTAACTTTTGAGTTTATCATACAGAACTGTAATTAGAAAATTTCAAAGAAAGCCACCTTTACATTTTAATCCATAAATACTGTCAGCATTTAACCTCTGTGTATGTGTAAACTCAATGAAAGCATCTGAGCAGTAAATTAAGAGATTCCCCTTAGTGTTCCCAAACACCTTGATTTCTGTCAGAAAATACCATTGGAAACAAGACTGAAGTAAGAAGCCTCTTACAGACAAAAACTCTCATGCATTTCATAGAAATTAGCACATCTAGGAGTCCTTATAGACTCTGGGATTTATACATAATAGAGGAAGAAAGAATACATTAGATGAAATCCTGCAAAAGAATTCCTTGAAAATATCACCTGAATTTAACAAATAAGGTTGTATTGCAACTCCTGTTCTGCATTGAAATAAAAAAACCTGTAAACTTAATATGCAGAATTTCCAGTGCAAAACATTTCTTGCATATGTGAGATAAAATAAGATAGTTTTTAAAATAAGGGAAAACTGAATTACAGAAAACAGAATCAGCTAAATGAATTCCCATGGAGATATATATCAGGACTGCTCAGCTGAAACATAATTTTTGGTGACAATAAGTGAAAATTACCTTTATGCTATGTAATTAATATATCTCAGGGGCACCTTACAGTTGACACATAGTGTTAATATCAAACCATGAGAGATTTAGCACTTTATCACACAATCATAGAGTAAATTACAATTTCATGTCATTAATACCTAGTTAACTTTTTTCTAATTAGTGAAACACAAATAGACTACATGACTTTTCACATGCCTGAGAAATCATAACCACATGCCTTGCTGAACTCGCAATTACCTCATAGGAAAAATCTCTACCTGATCTGCTAGAATATTTAGAGCAAATAGGTCATTATTAAGGCGACAGGAGAGAAGAGATGGAGGGAAAAATCACTTCTGCTGAATTCATTTAATCTCCATTAATATTAAGTTGGTAATTCACACCATTACATAAATCTCTCTAAAATTGCACTGGGGAGAAATTTATCTTCATGTTCTTTTTCCGATTAATTATTACTTCATTAAACCAGGACTTGGGTATGCCATGCAAGCTGTGTATGCTGGAAGGCAACATACAGCCTATCACAAAGCTGATCCTGCTGACCACGGTGACTAACTAGCCAGAGGATCCCCAGGCCCTACCTGGGATATCCTTCACTTTGCACTGGTGTAGCTCAGTCCAAGCACTGCACAATTCACCTCTACTCCTCCTTGAGAAGTAAACCTGCATAATTAGTGAAATAACTTTCCAAAGAGGAATGGATACAACACCCATCTGAATGGATCAAAGCCAGGGAGACTGGAGCTGAGACCAAACCCCACCATCTTCACCCGTTCCTTTCTGGGAAACACTGGAGCTACACGTGGCACATCACTGCAATGCCCAGAGCGTCAAGACTCTGCAAGTATGTCCTCCCCTGAGCCTGGTGAGGAGGACATAAGAGCTACACACAGGGAGCCATGCCACAGTCAGCAGTAATGGAGTCCAGCCCTACCTGGGACACCACGGCACTGCTCCCCTGTGTGGAGGGACAGAGAAGGAAGTCTGCTTTCAATCAGTGAAGTATAGCCCCCTAAAAATCCCCCCAAAGCACCTAAAAATCCTTCAATCCTTTGTTTTGGAAAACAAATTGTAACTGAAGTTCTCACAAAATTGTTTCCTAGTGGAAGATCATCCCGGACCCTCTGTCCCTCCTTGCAAGTGCTGAGCACTGCAGTATTATCAACAATACTCAGTCTGTTGTCTTTTTTAAGGAACAAAGTATAAACACTTCCTGCAGCTGCACTTAATGTTCAAATTTTTGCCAAACAAATTCCTCTTTGTTTGTGGGAAAGCAGTTTTGTTCACACTGGGAGAATTCAAGGTCTCTAAAGGACTCCATTCCTCCTCTTTCTGAGGTACAAGCTCACAGGGAGTCCCATGCTGAAGCACAGGAGCTCAACAGTTTTCTCACTCTACAATTGGCAGGATGAAGGATGGACACACATCTAGGCCAGTGAACAAGCCAAGACTCTTTTGGCTTACTCTGATAGAGCAGGAAGAGAGGACCCAGTCCCAGGATACTTCCTTTTTCTTCTTTTTAGGGAAACTGGGATCCTGATGAAGACTGGGATTTCCCATTTCTACTACTCTTACAGACATTTTCTAAAGGTGCAGCACCCTTCCATAACTAAGTGCTTCTCCTGTGGAAAATTTGCCTCAAATCATCCTACAGGTATGTCTACATTACCACACAGACTAGGGCAGGGAGCAAGCTCAGCGCTCCTGATCACCCACAGTGCTTAACTGCTAGTTTGGTCCCAGGTTCTCTTTTGTGAAGCTCCAAACCTAAGCAGACACACATCTGGGATCACAGTTCTCCACCATCAGCACTTGCTCTCAAGAGTCAGCATGGATCATCTTACACAGGGTTGGGGTTCTTATCCATGTCTGCACCAGTCTTTCAATTGGCTCTGCAACACCATACAGCTTCCCAACACATCCCAAGTCCTACAGTGCATAACCTCATCCTTCTGGTGGGCTGCAGGACAACTCACTTTTTTCTTTAAACATTGTTCTTGCAAAAAAAAAAAAAAAAAAAAAAAAAAAACCAGCTGAGGGCCAGAGGTCTGAGACCCCTCAGGAGAAGAATATGCAGTACGAACACAGCCATCTTTTAGACCAAACTAGCTCTCAGACATGAGTCAATCCAAGTTACTTGGCTTCCTGCAGATAGACACAGATTTAAATTCAGCCCCTGAGTAATCTAACATGTAGGTGTCTGTAGGTACTTCTCACTAATCACTTGCTGTTCCAAATCATGTATGTCGGTTAATTAAAAAAGCAAATATTAATGGCTTAGTGATCTAAGCAGAATATTGCTAACCAGGGATCACCAAGGCCTCACACCACCTCTAAAAGGGGTGCTCTCCATGGTCTTGAGAAATTTTATCTCCATCTGCACCTGTGGTAGTGCTCATGCTGTCACTGCCTAAAAGACAACACTCAGGATGGACAGTTTCAGTTGTTCCATTTGGTGATCTGCCTCAGTCACCTGGCAGGTGGATCAGACTACTTCTTAATAAGCCATAGAAATGGATTAATTTCCTCGCCTTCCCCCAGATTGCCACACACTCTATTTTGATTTTATATATTTCTAAATCTGCAGATATTCTTAGCTATTC